GTAGATTTTAGCTGGGCAGTCATGTGCCCAGCTAAAACTTTAGTACTAGGAAGGAAGCCACCAGCTGTCTGTGAGTGAGTCATACTGTAATGGCTTGAGTGTTACAATGATACTGGAAGCTATGTCACTGGTATTTCAAATGCTAGCAGAGTGACCATGATGGACAGGTTTCAAGGGAGTTTCCAGATTAAGAAGAAAAGCTTGGTGATCTACTTCCGAAAGTTAGCTGGTGAAAATCTTATGGATCACAACAGAATAGTGTCCTATACAGTGCTGGAAGTTAGCCCCGAAGTTGGAAGGCACTGAACAGCAGCCACAATTCATGGATTCAAATGTACCAGTGATCTTGAAGATGGTGCAGGACCAAACCGAACAACCAAACTCACTACCGTTGAGTTGGATCCTACTCTTAGTGACCCCTTCTTGGGTTTCCGAGGTGGTATCACTACAGAAGTAGATTACTTAATCATCCTTCTGAGGAGTGGCAGGACCAGGCAGTGTTTATGCTGTTGTGCATAACGTCTCCATGAATCTGAGTTGACACAATGGCAACTGGCAAACAACAAACAGAAGAAGAGAAAAAGCAGATGTTGGGTAACAGTCTGCCACACTGAGTTTCCCAGGTTTTCCTTCCATCCTCTTCCTTATCTGCTTCTCAATATCCTCCTCCTCTTCCTTCAAAACTCTGCTGGTATGTCATTTTCTTTCAGAAGTCTGCCACCTGACAATAGAATTGTTCTCTCTCCCTCCCCTAGGCTCCTACTTCTCGTGGTTCTTATATTAGAACACTTTTCACGTTGGATTGCAGCCAATTATATGCCATTAAATTGTGAAATCTTCAAAGCTGTGGACTAGATTGTACCCATCTCTGTATTCCTGGGCTTCCAGGGAAACAGGTGGTGTTCTGTGTTTATTTAAAGAATTAAGCTTCAGAAATAATGGAGTGCATCGCTTCCTCCAAATGAACAACATGTGCTCAGAAGACTAGGGCCTACTATGGGCTGTTTTCTCTCTTCCCACCAAAATCAGTAGTTTTAGCTTCAATTTACTTGCTAAAGTGAGTTGTATGAGGCGTTGAGGTCCCTCTACAAGAATGGAGGACAGAAAAAGATTTCTATGTAAATTTTACCCATTTAGAAGAAGCTAGACATTATTTCTGAAGCTGTGTTCACTAAATAAACATGCAGGGAGTACCTAGGTTTTCTGGAGGTCTGGGAATGCAGGGATGGGTATAATCTAGCCCACAACTTTGAAGATTTCACAATGTAATTGAAGTCATAGGCACATAATTGGCTGCAATCCAATGTGAGAAGTGTTCTAATATAAGAACCACGTGAAGTAGGAGACTAGGGGAGGGAGAGAGAACAATTCTATTGTCAGGTGGCAGACTTCTGAAAGAAAATGACATACCAGCAGAGTTTTGAAGGAAGAGGAGGAGGATATTGAGAAGCAGGTAAGGAAGGGGATGGAAGGAAACCTGGAAAACCCAGTGTGACAAACTGTTAATCTAACATCTACTTTTTCTCTTTTTCTACTTGTTGTTTGCTGGTTGCCATCAGCATCAACCCTGATTCATGGGGACCATATGTGCAACAGAACAAAATGTTGCTTGGTTGAGTCAATGACAGTGGGTTTTTTTTTTTGTTTGTTTGTTTTGGTTCCTATTTATTTTTCAGAAATAGCATCATATCTGGAATGCACTCATTGCCTCCTGGACATAATCAGGGACACACCCCCAGTTCTAACAATCCTCACAGAATGGAATGCCCCTTCCCCACAGGGGCATAGCACTGGCCTAGGTGCCAGCTACACAAGCCTACAAATGTAAGTGGCATCAATATTGTTGTTAACCCTGAGTTCTAATACCAAGCCTATAGTCATGAGCAAGTCAAGAGCAGTTGTTTAACCTTTTAGCTGTATGGAATAAGAATACTCATCTATTAAAACAAATATATTTTTAAGAGTCGTGCTTGCAGCCACAGAAACCCATTGTAGCTAACTAAAGCAAAAAAGTGGTTTTTATTAAGAAGGATATAAGAATTTCTTACCAAACTCAAGGGAATGGATGCAGCTGAGCTTCAGGTAGGACTAGAAACAGGAACATGTCAGAAAATGGATATTACCAATACCTGGTTGTCCCTGTCCAAGAGATGAGCCACATTCACTTCATTCTTATTCCAAATTCCCAAGAGAGGACTGATTGACTCGGCATGGGTTAGATGTTTACTCCAGAGCATCAACTAACACAGTAGAAGGGATCTGATTGTCTAAAGATGGAAGCAGTGTTGTCACCATATAGTTAGATAGGGTAGGGAAGGGACTATGCTAATAATGTCCACTATACCACCTACCAAAAGCTCAGATAATAGTGGCAACGTGGTGTCATGGTGAGAGCAGAGGTTTCTATTGCCAAATAGAATATCAGTTCTGCCACATAATAGCTGTGTAACTTCAGTTAGTCACTCAACCTTTGAAAGCATCATTTCTTTAGCTGTAAAATATGTAAAAGAATAATCTACTTCAAAGTATTCAGAAGGTTAAAGAAGATAATATTTATGAAGTAGTTAAAATGTAAGCATGTGATGTATATAACATGGATCTTCATGTAGCTGATTGGGAAGGGTAAAAGGTCAAGAAGTTGCCCCAGGCTGAACCTCTAAAGCAGTTCTGTCCACTAGAACTTTCTGTGATGATAAAATGGTCTTCATCTTTGCTGTTTATTAAGGTAGCTACTAGCCACATATGGCTATTGAACACGTAAAATATGACTAGTGCAACTGAGGAGCTGAATTTTTAATTGTATTTAAGTTCAATTAATGTAAAGTGAATTTGAATAGCTACATATGGCTGTTAGTTATTGTTAGGTGCTGTCAAGTTGGTTCTGAACCACAGCAACCCTGCGTACAACAGAACAAAACACTGCCTGGTCTCGCACCATCCTCACAATTGTTGTATTTGAATCCATTTGCAGTCACTGTGTCAATCCATCTTGCTGAGGATCTTCTTTTTTCTTCCCTGACCCTCTACTTTACCAAGCATCATGTCTGCTTGCGTAATTTCTTTTAAAAGGATCAACACAAGGCTGGTGCCTATTGGGAGCAGGTTAAAGATGTTCCAAATATCCAACTTTTCCAAACTGCTGTATCACTCCATCATGTCTAACATCAACTCATCCACCTCCCCTCAGTACTCTCCCTCCTGTCTTAGGGTTTGGTATTTCTCTATAATGTCTCACAGTACTCAGGAACTGACAAGGAAATAGCTCACGCAATTGTGGAAGCTGACAGGTCCCAAATCTGTGAGTCAGGTGTTGGTCGGGAGGATTCTCCTCACTTGTGTAGTTGAAGGAACTGATGAACCCAAATCAGCAGGTCAGATGACTGGCTGCTCTCTAAAGTCCCAAGCACTAGGGGTAAGACAATGATGAACCAGATGCAGAATCCACAGCAAGAGATTGAACTTTACCAGAGCATTCATATATATACTCTTAGGGGAACTAAGGGTGGTGACTTGAGTCACCCTCCAGCAAGACGGAATTCAAGATACATCCCACCTTAATCCTGCCTCAGCAATGCAACGGACAACTCAACCCAGAATGGGACCATAACCAGGCATAGAGGCTAGAATTTACAAAAAAACCAAAACCAAACACACTGCCGTGGAGTCGGATCTGACTCATAGCGACCCCTCCTTGAGTTTCTGAGGCAGTATCATTACGGAAGTAGATTGCCCAACCTTCTTTCCAAGAAGTGGCTGGTGGGTTTGAATTGCCAGCCTTCTGATTAGCAGTCAAATGTCTTAGGCACTATGCCACCAGAGCTCCTACATCACAAAATGCAGGATTGTGACTTGTTGTTGTTGTTGTTATGTGCCATGGAGTCAGACCCAACTCATAGTGAACCCTCTTCTGAGGCAGTATCACTGCGGAAGTAGATTGCCCCATCTTCCTTCCGAGGAGTGGCTGGTGGGTTTGAACCGCCAGCCTTCTGGTTAGCAGTCAAGAGCCTTAGGCACTATGCTACAATTCACACACTTCGATATCCTTCTTCAGGGATTGGTCCCTCCTGATAACATGTGAGTATGTGAGACAAAGTCTCCCCATCCTCACTTATAAAAGGTTATTATTATTCTTCCAAGACAAATTTGTTTGTTCTCCTGGCAGTCCATTGCATATTCTTCACAAACAGCATAATTCAAAGGCATTGATTCTTCTTCAGTTTTTCTTATTTATTGTCCAGTATTAGCAGTTGAAACCCATCAGCCACACCTCGGAAGGAAGGTTGGGCAATCTACTTCTGCTGTAATACCGCCTCAGTAGCCCAAGGAGGGGTCGTTGTGAGTCCGGTCTGACTCAATGGCACATAACAACAACAACATTCACATGCATATGAGGTGACTGAAAATACCATGGCTTGGATCAGGCTTACCTTAGTGCTCAAAGTGATATCTTTGCTTTTTAACACTTCAAAGAAGTCATTTGCAGCAGATTTGCCCAATACAACACATTGTTTGATATTTTTTACCTCTGCTTCCATTGTCTACATGTGGCTAAAGGCTACGATATTGGACAATGGAGGTCCAGAGCAGTAGTTCTTCATTCTGGGTGCATATTAGGGTCACTTGGGGGAGATTTCTAAAATTATTAATATCCAGATCCCTCCTACAGAGATTCTTGCTTAATTGCTCTGGGATAAGGCCAAGCATGGTTTTGGTTTTTTTTGTTTGTTTGTTTGAAGTTCTCCTAGGGCTTCTACTGTGCAGCCTGGAATTGAGAACCATTGGTAAAGAGAAAGAAAGTGAGAGCTCAGGAAGTCTTGATGAGATCTCCTTCTTCTCTGCTTCTATGCCATAATCAAGCTACTCTTGCTCTGGATTTTACCATATTTTAGGCACAGTCAGTTCTGCTGGAAGAGCCTTATTGACCAACAACACAACTTCAGTGAAGAGAGTTTGGGCAGCCATTTCTTTGTCCCACACAGTTTCTTCTTTCCCTTTATCAGGGTTCGTGTGAGCCAGGATGGGCAGTTTCTGCACTACATCTTTCCATACCAGTTCATGGACTCTCCTGAGTGGGAATCGCTGCAGCCCTCGGAGGAGGGGGTGTTCCAGGTAATAAGGAGCTCCATGGCAGCACCACCATTCCCTGTCCCATGGTTGCCCAGCAATAGCTCCATCTCCATCTTTCCTCTCTCACATCAGTCCACTGAACCATTACCACTATGATACTAGGGGTAGTAGTATTCTCATTTAGAGAAAGTGCCTTGTCTGCTGGTATAGGTAGAGCAATGCAGGGAGGTGCTGACCCTAATAACTGAGCCTAAAACTCTTCTGGAAGTGACCTTAGAGCATAACTTAAGATCTTTTATGAGCTATATCTCCAGCCCTTCCCTTCCTCACAATTTTCACTCATACCAGCCACAATGAACTGCTACTTCTTGCCTTAACATACCACATTATTTTACAATTCCATGTCTTGGCCTCTACTGCCTCTCTGTCTAAAATGCATTTCCCCTTCTACACTACATTACGGCATAGCATCTCACTTCTTCTGGAAGCCTGCCCAGATTGACGTCACCAGTGTATACCCCCATGGCTTATTGTTCCCACCTGTGTGCCTGTTCTGTCCCTTTTACTTATGCTGACTGGGCACATATTGCTTTCTGTTCTAGTTATCTGATTTCCTTTCTATGTTCCACATAGTGAACACTTTGAAGTAAAAATCTGGGCTTCTTCCTCTCTATCCCTAGTCTCCACAAGGATAGTGCCTGCAACACAATCAAAACCAAAACCCACTGCCATCAAGTTGATTCTGACTCATAGCAACCCCCATGGGGTTTCTAAGCTGTAAGTCTTTACGGAAGTAGGTTGCCTCATCTTCCTCCCACGGAACAGCTGGTGTGTCTGAACCGCCAACTGTCTGCTTAGCTGCCAAATGCCTTACCCACTGCAAGACCAGAGCTCTTTTGGAACACAATAGGTGTCCATTAAAGCTTTGCTGAGCTGTCATGGCAGTGGGCGGTCGGGTCTCAGAGGACACCCTGAAGCATTCATATCAGCATACTCCAAGGTGGGAACTTGGCTACTCGGCCTTTACTCTGTCAATCCTTCAGGATTTGTCTACCCTTTTTATGTTGTTGTTGTTGTTGTTGTTATGTGCGTCGAGTCAGCCCAGACTCATAGCGACCCCTCCTTGGGTTTCCGAGGCAGTATCACTACGGAAGTAGGATTGCCCAACCTTCCTTCCGAGGAGTGGCTGGTGGGTTTGAACCGCCAGCCTTCTGGTTAGCAGTCAAGCCCTTTTTATAGCTCTCATTTATTGAATGGCTAGCACGTGGCAAGCACTACATATTATATTACCTCAGTAGTTCTCACAACAACCCTATGGATTATTACCTTATTTAATAGACAAGGAAACTAAGGTTCAACAATATTAAGTAAATAGGACAAGGCCTTACACCTAGAAAGTGGTAAAGCCAAGTTGCCTGGATTTACTATTTATAGTTTGTTAGTTTGTTTGTGCTTGATAACAGGAGGGATTACCTGGAGAGTGAAATTTATACACACAAATTCTCACCCTAATAGGGACTTTGTGCTTAGATAGTTTGTGGGTACTGGGTTCCATGTGTCTTCTACCGCTTCTATCTGGGAGTCCCTCAAGCTGGTAGGAGCCAACCCTGGAATAGACACATGCCAGGCTATGCCATCTGGCTGGGCCTGCTTCTGTCCACACCCCGACTCTTAGTTCTGTGAGGATGGAGCCTGAGAGGCAATCCTGATCCCACTGCTGTGGCCATCAGCCACAGACCTCCCCTGTCCTATTTCTCTTCCCCCCCGCCCCATCCCTCACATACATACCCCCTCTGATACCCTAGCAACATCCTTGGACACTCCTTCAGGGCCAAGAACCTCCAAGAGGGCTGAGTCAGGTCCCAAGCCAGTCGGACCAGGGCTCTATTTCTGATACTGACGCCGAGGAACAGGTGGCGGGTAAGCTGGTGTCCTCCCCTAAGTTACGTTCAAAAGGAAAGGCTGTAACCCCAGATGGCCTCTCAGCCTGGAATGTAGGCATGGTTATGTTCCTCCCACTTTTATTTTTAGTTTGTGCTCCAGTGGGAGCAATGAGAGCCATGTGTTTGCTATTGGCTATGTAAAGTCCCATTTCCTCTTTGCAAATGCCAAGCAGTTTCCCAAGTTATAGTTCATTCTGTCCTTGCCTTTTGCAATTACACAGTCTTTGTTGACTGAGAGAACATCTACAGTGAATTCCTAGATCATAATTCACATTGTGTTTAACACAAATCAATCATCATTCCATCACATCTCTCAGCAATTCAATTAAATAAGAATTTATTAACTGTCCAGCACAGTGACACTATCATTACTTACAAAGAACAGAGCACGGGAGATGCACACAGAAATCATCATTATTTCTCCTATTTGTATTGTGTTTTAGTGGATGCAAAGCCTATTTACATATGTTATCTCTTTTAGTCCAACCAGCCAACCTCTGAGGTAAGTATTCAAGAAAAAGCTAGATATTTGGTATCATGGACTGAAGTGCATCCCCCCAAAATGTGTGTCAACTTGGCTAGGCTATGATTACCAACATTGTGGGATTGTCCTCCATTTTGTGATCTGATGTAATTGTCCCATGTGTTATAAATCCTAATCTCTGCCTACGGTTAATGAGGCAGGATTAGATTATGTTAAAGAGGATTAGGATATATTTTGTTATGTTAATGAGGCAGGATTAGGATAGGATGCAACACCCTTACACAGATCACAGTCCTGATCTGATGTAAGGGGAGTTTCTCTGGGATGTGGCCTGTATCATCTTTTATCTTACAAGAGATAGGAGAGAACTGACCAGAGAAGGAGGGAGCTCCTACCACCAAGAAAGAACCAGGAATGGAGTGCATGCTTTGGACTCGGGGACCCTGCACTAAGAACCTCCTAGGCGCAGGGGAAGATTGATGCCCAGACACATGGAGATTTCCAAGAGACACTGGGCCCACAAATATAGAAAGGAGACAAGGACCTTCCCCTAGAACCCACAAAGACAGAAAGTCTTCCCCTACAGCTGCTACCCTAGAGAAATGTGAGAGAATAAATTTCTATTTGTTAAAGCCATCCATTTATGGCATATCTGTTACAGCAGCACTAGCTAAAACTTTGTTATAGACATGTGCATATGCATGTAATAATCAAGCAAAAAAAACAACAACCAGATTTCTCAAGGACTTTTGAGAAAGAGTTTTATGTAAGATATGAGGTGACATCCACTTTGGTCTTTTCTTCCTTTCTGGTCTTTTTAATTACCTTTTGTTTTCTTCATGGATGATGTTCTTAATGTCATCCCACAGTTCTGGTTTTCAGTCATTGGTGTTCAATGCATCAAATCTATTCTTTAGATCGTCTCTAAAGAGGTATAAAATCCCTCAGGAGGGATAAAATCAAGGTCATAATTTGGCTTTTGTAGAGTTGTTTTAATTGTCTTCAATTTCAACTTGAACTTGCATATCAGCAGTTGATGGTCTGTTCCACAATCAGCTCCTGGCCTTTTTTGGCTGAAGATATTGAGCTTCTCCATCACCTCTTGCCACAAATGTTGTCAATCTGATTCCTGTGTACTTCATCTGGCAAAGTCCACATGTATAGCTGCCATTTGTGTTGTTGAAGAAAGGTATTTGCAATGAATATATTTTTGGTCTTGCAAAATTCTATCATGCGATTTCCAGCATCATTTCTATCACCAAGACCATATTTTCCAACTACTGGTGATTCTTCTTTGTTCCAACTTTTGCATTCTAATTACCAGTGATAATTAACACATCTTGATTGTACGTTCGGTTGATTCCAGACTGCAGAAGTTGAAGTTTCAGAACTGCTATCAACTGAAATAAAGAAGATGCAAATAGAGCTGGTTTGGGTGGGAAATAGAAAGTTTAGTTTTGGACATAGTGAGTCATCTATGGACATTTAGGTGAAAATGCTGCATAGGTAGTTAGATATTTGAGTCTGGAATTTACAAAAGAAGGCTGGGCCGTACACAAAAACTTGGGAACTGTTGGCGTACAAATGATATTTAAAGCCTTTGACTTGGATGAAGATCCCTGCTGGTGCAATGATTAAGCACTCAGCTGCTAACCAGCCACTCCATAGGAGAAAAATGTGGCAGTCTGTTTCTGTAAAGATTTACAGCCTAGGAAACCCTATGGAGCCGTGCTACTTTGTCCTATAGTGTCTCTATGTGTTGGAATCGACTCAATGGCAATAAGTTTGGGAGATTGGGACACCCAAGTGAGTGAGAGAAGGGGTTCAAGACCTGAGTCCTGAGATACTCTAATCTTAAAAAGTTGAAAAGAAGAGGAAATAGCAAAGAAGCCTTGATAAAGAGCAATCAGAAGACAGTAGGAACCCTATGTGGCATCCTGGGAACCAAGTAAGGAAAGTGTATCAGAGAGAAGGAAGCAATGAGTGAAGTTGAATGCTGTGAAAATTGACCTCTGGACTCAGCAATGTAGAGATCACTGGTGACCTTAATAGACAGCGTTTGTGGACTGCTAGGGACAAAGCCATATTGGCTTAAGAGAGAATGAGAGGAGAGGAAATGGAGACAGCAAGTATAGACATTTTTGTTTTTGTCTTGGAGTTTTGCTTAAAAGGAGAGCAAATTAATGGAGTGGTAGCTAGCCAAGGAAGTGAGGTGAAGAAAAGGTTTTTTTTTTTTTTTTTTTTTCCAGTTTTTGGTTTTGTTCTATTTTAAGTTGGAAAAAGTAACACTATGTTCATAAGATTGCACAAGGTCTTTTGTGCTCAGCCTTAAGGATGTTGTTTATGTCCAGGTTCTTTCTTACACATACTCATTTTGTGCTCAGTACTCTGATTTCTTGTTTGGGAATTTTTTGTGGGTACAGATAAGGAATAGGCTATGTTAGGTTGTGATAAATACTTGCTAAACTATTATTAATGGGCAGATGGTATTACTTTCAAAATTATTTCTCATGAGGCCACAGTTGAGTAATTTGTCTGATGTCATCATACAGCCGGTAAAGTGGTAAAGCTGTTACTTGAAACCAGCTTCTGACCTTGATGTTGTAACTTCAGGCTTTGACTGTAGTGCTTATTATTGTGCAGGGTCAGGGGTGTTGAAAGAGGAAATGGATAAAGGAAATGTAGAAGGGGTACTGCAGAGGGGAAAGAAGAGGAAGGATGGCAGTGGGAATTCTGGTGGGCAATGCAGGAATTAAAAGGATTATATACAGCCTCTAATAAAGAATCTTGTAACATCAGTCCTACTTTGAATTAGATAACCCACTTAAAGAACTTAATAATACCTGGTACAAGGTACCTCAATAAGTGTTAGCTGCTATGATCATTATTGGGAGCTCTGGTGCCACAGTGCCTAAGGCATTTGGCTGCTAATCAGAAGGCTGGTGGTTCAAACCCACCAGCTACTCCTTGGAAGGAAGGTTGGGCAATTACTTCCGCAGTGATACTGCCTCAGAAACCCGAAGAGGAGTCGCTATGAGTCGGATCTGACTCAATGGCAGTGAGTTTTTTTATGATCATTATTATGATTTCCAATGTCTCCATCCACAAATTTCTATCATGAACCCTGCTAGCCTTCTCACTTTTAAAGTACTGTGACCAATCAGATTATATACAATTGTGTAATTCTATACCCCATTCCTTTACTATCCTAAGCACATTTCTATTTTAAACTTTAGTTTTATCAAGCGCCCACTGTGTACTGGAAATGCATTATTGTTTATTACCCTGGAGGTGTAATTTAGCTTTGCACCCTGGGTATGTAGTGAGCTCTCAGAAATTTCTAGATAAATGAGTAAATGGAGAGTGAGGTGCTCTTTGACTCTGCTTTTCAGAGTTCCTTTTCATCTGTGCCTTCTTCCTGACCTTGGCCATCAGATCCTTTTGGTTAGTTTTAGTGGCCAAGCAAGAGCAACTTCGAGGGCCTTAATCCCAAGTCAGTACTCTGTCCACTTGCTGCAGTTTGACATTCCTGATCGGAAGCTGACTGAACTTCTTTTCAACTCCTTTAGGTCCTACACCAATATATCACCCCTTATTCTTAAAATGAACCACTTTTCAAAGTATTTCATCTGCTCTTCATAGCACTAGGAAACCCTTCTTTTTCTCAAAATCACAACATACTCAGACCATCCTGAAGCCCTTGGTGGTGTCAGCCATGGAACCATAGAATATAAGAGATGAGGTGACCATATGTGGAAACTGAGGCTCCAGGAGCTGACAGCCTAGTGAGTGAATGAATGACTCCAGAGGTTCTGATACAGGATAGCCCCCATATCAGCACACAAGTAAGTCATTCATTGGACATTCTTCCTGCAAGAATCCTGTACAGCTTCTTCAAAAAGTACAACCATTTACCAAATAACTGTATGTTTCTCTGTGCTCAACATGGACACGTTTTGTAGTTTAAACTTAACAGCCTCTCTGCTCTTGACCCCTCTCAGGTCACCCTGACTGCTGAGACCACATGTAGCTACATTTCCTGGCCTCGGAAAAGTCTTTACCTTCTTCTGGCCAAAGATCGATACATCTCCTGCCTCTTCTCTGCCTTGCTGGGCAATGACATCTCAGAGAAGCTCTACGCTCTCAATGACAAACTCTTTGCTAAGTTTGGGCTGCGCTTCGATATCCGCCTCCCCAGCCTCTACCACGTCCTGGGTCCCACAGCCTCGGATGCAGGGCCAGAGTCTGAAAAGAATGATGAAGAAATCTGTGAGCCAGCAATATCTCCTCAGGCCCTGCCCACATCTGTCCAGAAAACACTCCCTTATCCTCCCATTCCAGCTGCCACCAACCCTCCTGTACCTCTTTCCCGGGCCAGAGTATCTAGGCCTGACAGCAGTGTCCTTGGTGAGGACTCTACCAGTCTGGTGCTGGAGGATTTTGAAGAGGTGTCAGGATCAGAATCATTTATGGATTATAGGAGTGATGGGGAGTACATGAGGTGAAGGGACAGCTAACATGGGCACAGCTACCGAGCTCAGGATCCTGTGTAAGTACTCAGAAGGCAGCTGCCACACCTTCCTGCCAACAGCTGGCGTTACTCCAGCTTGGAAGGGCAAAAAATCGTTTCGTGGAGCCTGTCCTCCAGAAATGGCATTAATCCAACCTTACAGATAGCAACTCACTCAGGGTGCATACAAAGCATGAAGGGATGGTTAATTATCATTGCATTTTGGAAAGAGGATTAGTTGATATTTTAAGCAACCAGGTAGGATGTTAAATTCTTTGCAAAGGTTGTACTAACAGCCAAGGCCACAGCTGGGGCTAACAGGGACTTTATATGTGGCATGCATTCTAAAGGGGAAAAAAAGTTGGCATGGTTCTAATACCTACTAGATTGTCTTCTTGGTAAAGTCAGTCCTGCAAAGCTGTCAGTATTTAACCTGGACTAGGCAGGTGTCTTAGTTAAAATCGCACATTTCAAAAAGACTTGGGATTAAAGGCTAATAACCTGTGGGGAGGAAAACATCACCACCTGCTTTTCTCTTTCTCGGTGGAGAATATGCTGATCTCTCTGGGAGAGAACTGGATGCCTCTTATAAATATAGTGCAGCCTGGCTTTCCCCAGCAAAGCACACCTATCTGAAATGGACTGGGCACGAATCTTGGAGAGCCTAAATGTGTGGGGAAAATTTTCTCACAGCTCAGGAGAATGTACAAGTAATGCTGTACTTGGAGACTTCCAGCAAGACAGTGGAATTGGCAGAGAAGCTACATGTACCCTCTGCAAAAAAGAAATGTGAAACCAATTGAAATAGATACAAAGATAATCCTAGAACCCTGAGCTTTGAGGGGAAAGAAAGAAGTGGATTAAATACCAACTAGTAGAAGAACCTGAATGAAGACAATGACTAAGGAGGCAAACTGAGCTGCAGATTGTCAGCTGTCCTGACAGCACAGCCAATTTGAATATTTACAAGTGGCATTCCAATCCAGGCAGCAATCTAAGAAATGGCTCCACTTGCCAAGGACTGCAAGGGCATCTGCTCTGGTGACTAATGACTAGAAAGGAAAACAGTGAATAAGAAGACAAACAGAGGTGTGGACTGTTGGCTGTCCTAAGAGAATGGTCATTTTGTATATTTGCAAGCAGCGTTCTGATCCAGGTGGCAACCTAAGAATAGGCTCCACTTGCCAAAGACAGCACAAGCAACCACACTAGAAGCTGATGACTAGAAAGCAACTGTGCCCATACCACCCAACTATAATCGCACCTCTTTTAGCCCCACCCACTAGGTGAGGTCACCATTTCCTTCTGCACCAACTGATCAACGATAGACAGTGGCTAATACTAGCCCAATTCATCCTCAACTGCTCTTCATGAACAACCAACAAATATCTGTGCACACATTCTCATTCTCTATCACACCCACCAGAACACAGTTAGTGAGTGCCTAAGTACTGCCAGTTAGTGAATAGAGGAGCACGATAACCCTGCTCATTCAGATATACCAAAACAAAATAAAGCAAAACACACACACACACAACACCTGGGTGGAGGACACCAACATACAATTACTAATTAAATATAAATACAGTTACATCACAATGTCTTGGAGGCAAATGACCATCCCAGTACACACAAAGAAACAAGATAAACTAGTACAAACAAGGGACCAGAAAACAGACCTAGAAAACTTCCCGGAGGAAGAAAAGGTATTGGAAGTGCCTGATAAGGAATTCAAAAGAATTGTGTTTAGGTACTTTTATAGTTGGAGTTGTGTGTCAACTTGCCTGGACCACAATTCTGAGTGGTTTAAGCAGTCGTGATGTGGGATATTCCCATGATGAAATCGGATGCATATATTTTGAGCAACCAATCCATTGAAAGTGAGTTTCCCTAGGGGTGTGGCCTGCTTCCAATATATTTATGGACATCCTGGGAAAAGAGACACACTTCTATGTATCTCCTGTTGTGCTGCCTACAACTGTCCATGAGTGAAAAATCCAGCATTTGGCCTGGTGATCTTGGATTTGCCATTTGTTGGAGTCAACAGCTGGTATACTGCCTGCCAACCTTGACCTGCAGCCCCTGCAGCTGTGTGAGTTGGGAAAGGCCTCCAGTTTGACGTTTGACTCAAGAACTTAGGACTTGCCAGCTTATATAAGTGTGTGAGCCATTTTCCTAAGATAAATTTATCTCTCTCTATATATATCTATAAGCTTTACTGGTTTTGCTTCTCTAGAGAACCCAGCCTAACACACTTGGTACCGAGAGTGGTTCTAGAGAGACAAAATCATAAGGATGGGCTTCCTAAATTGGTTCTCACTGATTCTTTTTTGGTTCTCCAATTTGATTAATTGTAAAGGCACTGGTGACTCTGCCTCCATTAGTAAAGAGGGCCCTGCTAATCCATGGAGAAAGGTGGCAACATTAATATGCCAAATAGCACCACCAATAAATCAAGTATTTTTCAGAAGTGAGACTCTGGGTGATCACATATTTGATAAAAAAAGAAAACAAACTCACTGCCATCGAGTCAGATCCGACTCATAGTGACCCTTCCTTGGGTGTCCGAGGCGGTATCACTATGGAAGTAGATTGCCCAACCTTCCTTCCGAGGAGTGGCTGGTGGGTTTGAACCACCAGCCTTCTGGTTAGCAGTCAAATGCCTTAGGCACTATGCCACCAGAGCTCCCCGCATATTTGATACTTTTCTGCAATTTTGTCAGCATTAGGAGTATAAAGAAGTTTGTTAGTTGGTCCTACTTATGCTAGACAAAGTGGTGAAAGAGCAAGATGAGTTCAGGAATGCTGAGTCACAGCTCAACCACCACATAAAAGACCTCAATGTTTCCAGTTGTGCTCTGAAAGAAAGCCTTATTTCTTCTAGTAACAGAGCTGATATTGCCGAAAACCAAACCCAGAGTCTTATTGTAAGGGTGGCTGAATGACAACACCAATTGAATTGCCAAGTCAGAATGGTGTCTGAAGTTAAAGTGAGGGCTTTGATTGGGAAAAAATGGGATCCTGAAACCTGGAAAGGTGACACATAGACAGGCAGTCAGGAAGATAAGGATATACCAAAACCACCAAACTCACTGCCATGGTGTCTGATCCTCCTCATAGCGATCCCTCCTTGGGTTTCTGAGGCAGTATCACTACAGAAGTAGATTGCTCTGTCTTCCCTCTGAGGAACACCTGGTGGGTTTGAACCGCCAGGCTTCTGGTTAGCAGTCAAATGCCTTAGAAAAGGATATGGAGCCTGTAAATTCTTTAGAATCCCTCCCATTTGAAGGGTTTACTATGAAACCATTATCCCCTCCACCTCAGTTTGATGGGATTAATCCAACTGTTCCTGCTGGGTCATTGCCTGAGTTAGATGCCATGGAAGACATTGCCAAATGTCTTCCCCAACCACCCATTGTTGCTGCTAGCCCTATAACTAAAGTTAAGTCCAAGGGACCCCCAAAAGGTGAAATAGAAAGTGTGACTGAGGAGGTGGTACACTACACCTGAAAAGACCTACTTGATTTTGCTAACATGTACAGATAGAAACCTGGAGAATATTTATGGGAATGGCTACTGAGAGTGTGGAATAATGGTGCAAGGAATGTAACATTGGATCTGTCTGAGTTTATTGATTTAGGCCCACTAAGTATGGATTCTTCATGCAATGTTTCAGCTCGGAGGTTAGGAAAGGATCTAATAGTTTATTTGATTGGCTTACTGAAGCATGGATTATGAGGTGGCCTACCTTAAGTCAAGTTGAAATACCAGACCTGCCTTGGTATAATGTAGAAGGTATCCAGAGGCTGAGGGAAATTGACATGTTAGAGTGGATTTATCAGATCAGATCTCTAGAGCTAGAGATGGAGAGTCCAGAGGACATGCCTTTCACTAGTACAGTGAGGAACGAACTTGTGAAGGGAGCCCCAACATCCTTGAATACTTCTGGGATTGCTATTTTATGTAAGTCAGATTTGACAGTGGGAACTGCCCTAATTGAACTAAGACACTTAACTATGATGGGGCTGATTGGACTCTGTGGTAGTAGGGGCCAAGTGGCAGCAGTTAATTGACAAAGACAATGTGGGCATGGTTACCATAATGGACAGCAGAGTCAAAACAGTAATCAGAATACTCTGACTCATATGGAATTATGGTGTTGGCTACTTAGGCATGGTGTTCCTAGGAGTGAAATACATGGCAAACCTACTAAATACTTACTTGATCTGTTTAGACAGAAGAATTCTATGTCACATGAACAGCAGTCTAGATTGAATACAGAATACAGAGTCATGGCCTCTCAATCAATTCCCAGACTTAAGTCTGTTCACAGACCCACAACCCCTTGAATGAAGATGAGGCTGGATCCCCTTCAGGAAGGACCCCACAATGTAGCCAAAAATTTATAACGTTAATTTTTCTCCCAGCCTACCCCAAAGGGATCTGAGGCCTTTTCTAAGAGTAACTGTTCATTTGGGAAAAAGAAATAGTCAAACTTTTTGGAAGGTTACTGGACACTGGCTCTGAACTGACACTAATTCCAGGAGATCCAAAGTGTCACTGTGGCCCACCAGTCAGAGTGGGGGCATATGGAGGTCAAGTTATTGATGGAGTCTTAGGTCAGGTGTGTCTCACCGTGGTTCCAGTGTGTTTCTGGACCCATTCTGTGATTTATCCAGTTCCAGAATGCATAATTGGAACAGATACGCTGAGCAAGGGAGCTCTGGTAGCGTAGTGCCTAAGGCACTTGACTGCTAACCAGAAGGCTGGCAGTTCAAACCTACCAGCCACTCCTCAGAA